CAAAACCCCAGGCACCCCCCAGCCCCAGCACTAAAGCATCTTCAAGCATGTCCAGAGATCACATCACCATGATTTCAGATCTGAGACACCCTCAGGGATCGCTCGAGTCCACGGAGATGAACCACATTTTGCACCCGAGATGGCTCAAAAAGCATCTTCAGAGCCCTGGGCTGAGGGCACGAGGGTGGCAAAGGCCTTCTGTGCTGGAGCTCTGGGTCCAGTGTGGCACAGCTGATTTTGGACACACAGATACCCTAAGGAGGAGATTTTTTTTTTTTTCTCTTTTTTTTTTTTCTCTCATGATTTTTTTTGTTGAATTTTTTTTTTTTTTTTGCAAGCTGCTGCACAAACCACCGAACGGAGAAAAGCCTTTGGTCATGAGATACTTGTGAGAAAAGAGTGAGCCTTGTATGGAAGATTCCCCTGAATGCCTACAGTATTCTAAATCTTAAAAAAATATATTGTGGACGCTGCAGCCATACAAAGGGGGAGGAGGAGGAGTGGGAGACAGGGATTTACAGTCTCACACAGACACAACGGGGAGGTTAAGACAAGCACAGTCAGAGTCTGTAAAACTGATTGGCTCGCTGGGATCAGTCATCCTCATCATCCTCTTCGTCCTCTGCATCTTCCTCTCCTTCATCCTCTAGACTTCGTTTTCTCTTCTCCCCACACGGATGGTCTGCAAAGAGAGGGGGGATTCACTCTTCCAGCCCAGCCCAGGGAGCAGCAGCTGAGCTGTGGAGCTGGGGCAGGCTGGCACCATTTGGGAACAGATCCACCCTGTCCTGCTCCTCCTGGAAAAGCCTGGGCTGACACGAGACACCAACAACTTTCTCTGCCCTCCAAGCATCCTGTGTAACAGCTGAAAAGGGGATTTTGTTGTTGTTGTTGAGCAGCCTCAAAAACACAGCATCTGCAGAATTCAGGCACTCCTGACCAAGCTCATGGCCCCCAGCGCTGGCACTGCTGAGGCCTCAAATTCTGGGTCAGTTTGGGCCCCTCCTGACAAGGGGGACATTGAGCAGCTCAGTGAGGGGCTGGAGCATGTCCAGGGAAGGGAACGGAGCTGGGGAAGGGTCTGGAGCACCAGGAGGGGCTGAGAGAGCTGGAAAGGGGCTCAGCCTGGAGCAAAGGAGGCTCAGGGGGCCCTTCTGGCTCTGCACAAGTCCCTGCCAGGAGGGGACAACCGGGGGGGTCAGTCTTGTCCCAGGTAACAAGTGACAAGGTGAGAGGAAATGGCCTCAAGTTGCAGCAGGTGAAGTTTAGATGGGATGTTGGGAAAAACCCCTTCAAGGAGAAGGTGGTCAGGCACTGGCTCAGGCTGCCCAGGGCAGTGTGGATGTGGCACTCAGGGACAGGGGTCAGTGGTGAACACAGTGGTGTTGGACTCAGCATTAGAGAGATTTCCCAACCTTAACAATTCCACAATTCATCCAAAACTGTCTGAATCCACACCAGCCACAATATTCTGCCAACTCTCATCTGGGTGGTTGTTTGTTACAACCAGAGGAGTCTGGCCCTGAGCTCAGGTCTGAGCTGAGAGTGGAATGTCCCCCTGAGAGATTCACTCACCCTGCTCCTGCATGGCCCATCGGTTCCCAGAACTGCTTCTCTAAGCAATTGACCTCTCACATTTCCCAGAATTACCTGGCATGGCTGGAATTTGGAGGTCCTGAGACCCCTTCCCCTCCCTGTGTGACCCCTGATGATGACACTGCTCAGTACCAGCCTGGGCAGAAAAACTGCAGCAACAACAGCCCTGCACCGAGGCTGAGGAAGCTCCAAAAACACCAAATATTTGACTGTTGAGGGAGCTCTGCAATAAATTGGATTGTTAGGACTCAACTCACCCTCCTCAGCTTCATCTTCTTCATCTTCCTCACCATCTTCCTCCTCATCTTCCTCCTGGAGTGAAAACAAGAGGCTTTGTTGCAAGAACCACAATCCCATGAGCAGTAACCCCAGCCCCTCTCCCAGCCCAATGAAGCCTCAGGGTGGCAGGAGAAGCTGGTGGATCTCCAAGAGCTCCTCACATCCCCACAGACGGGGCTGCATGGACCCATCACTCAGAGACATGGGAGGTGCCAGGCCAAGACTGAACTGGAAAACTCTCTGGAGTTTTTGACTCTCAGGAGTCCAGAGTGCAGGGAAAAAGCCAGAGTGGATGGCAAACTCCTCAGATCTGTCCCCAGAGAGGCTCCTGTGACACTGGGTCACCACACAAGGGACAAATGCGTGACCTGGTGCTGAACCAGTGCCAGCCTCACCTCATCATCTACTCCATCCTCCTCCTCTTCACCTTCCAGATCATCGTCTTCATCTTCCTCGTCATCAATGACTTCTTCATCCAAATCGTCCTCCTCCTCATCATCCTCCTCTTCCTCGCCTTCTACCAAAAGGGGGAGGGAGGGAAGTGCCCCAGTTCCCAAATCCAGACACCCTCCACCCCTCAGAGCTGTGTGAGCAGCAGGCAGGGTCACAGAGGATGAGGAGGGACAGCAGCCAGCCCTGTGGGGCAGGGGCTGGGGGTACCCACACAGCGCCTACTCCAGTGCCCATCCTCGTCTGTGGAGCCCACCCAGAAGCACAAAAGGGGCCCTTGCCCAGCAGGAAAACCAGGAGGAGAAAGAAATCCTCACCTTCCCCATTCTCATAGTCATCTTCCAGTGCATCCCCATCTGCTTCGGGGTCTGAGTCAGGGGCTTCCTGCTCATCAGCATCAAAGCCATCCAGGTAGGTGAGCTGGGGCAGGAGGGCAAACACGCTCTCCCGGTAGTTGATGAGCATCGTCACCTCGCAGTTGAACAGGTCCAGACTGTGGAGGTTTGGCAACTTTTTCTGCAAAAATCAATTTGTTAAGGTTATTCACAGCACTGTCTGAAGATCAGGCAGCCAAGGCAGGGTGGCTGGGGCACTGCCCAGCTCCAGCACAGAAGTGGTTCTGCCCCACATGCTCCTCAGATGGAGAGGAATCACTGCTCCTGCTCATTGAGGGGACAGAAAATTTCTGTTCAGCTCCTCTGTCCTGCCTTCCCTTTCTGGAACAAACTCTCTGTGCATTTGCAAATCTTTCTTTCTTCTGAACAGGCCCAGAAAGCTCAGGAGTAGCTGAGCTGGACTCATCCTGCTCAAACATCAGGCAGAACACCAAGGCAGAGCTCAGGGAGAGCTCAAGGCACAGCCCAGCTCAGGCCAACACACCGAGCACCACGCCAAGGAAAGGAGGAGCAAAACAATCCCAAATTCCTTCTGGAGGGAATGGATGCACCAAACAGCCCAATGAATGGACAAATGCCCTGTGTCAGACCTTTCAGGCATCCCTCACAGCAAGAGCCTTCCTGGGCCAGTTCAGACGGAGCCTCTGAGGCCTTTTCCAGCCTCACTGATCCCTGTGGGAATGGGAGCCCTGCAGTGCTGTGACAGCAGAGCCTTCAGGCTGATGGGACAGATGCCCTCACTGGTGTCATTCCATGACACCCCAGGTGCCACCTACCTCCAACTGCCTCCGACCCTTTCCCGGTCCCTTCTCAGATGGGCACTGAGCATCCACAGTTTTACTCATCCAGCCCCATTTCACGCTTCTTTTAGCGACTGGCTGCTGCTTTTCCAGACTGAGGAGCCATTAACTACTGGCCCAGCCTCAAACTGGGATCAAATCTGTTCCCATCAGAACCACGCAGTGCTGTTGGAACAGTTACCAAGACGTTGGATTCCTGCTGCACAGACCCATTCCCCAAAGGAAACGTCATCCCTGGGATTCCAGCACAGCCTCCACTCACCAAGGGCTCCAGGGTATTGATGTCTTTGATCTTGTTGCCGCTTAGGTTCAAGTGTGTCAGGTTGGGAGTTTTCTCTGCTAGAACTTCAAGGCCACCAGAAATCCTATTATCACTCAGCTCCAGCTGAAGGGAGGGAATATCACATGGTCACCAAGTGTTTCAGCTCGTGATACAGGGAAGGAAATTGCCCTGAGAACTGGGCTACGATGAGCACCCAAATTTCAGCTCACAGAGCAGCAGGTCAAGTCTGCCCTTAAAATCCCTTTCCTGCAGGGACACAGCACTGCCAGCCACCCCCATGCTGGCTACTGCTCCAAAACCCAAACTATTCACGGTGTCACAAAGCTTCTGACAGCAGCACAAGAGCAAAAAAGCAAGAGAGGAAGGGCACTAAACACCTGAAGAGCTCGGAAGGGTTTCGTTTCACATTAAAACCAACCCCTCTTGCTTGCTCAGATAGCGAGCAAAGAGCAAAATTCAACGGCTTTTTTCTGGCAAATACAGGAAAACCAACTGCCAGCAGGGGCAGCACAAGGCCAAGGGCTGCTGGAGAGGGGACCTGAGCCCTGACTCACCTTCCGGAGCTTGTTGAGTTTGGGGAGGTTGGACACGGACAGCAGGTTGATGTTGATCATGCTGAGGAACTCCAGGTTCTCAAAGTCTGAGGAGAGACCGACCACCTTGCCATCCTCTGAGCGACAGTTATCCAGGACCAGCTCCTTCACCTGCATGGGGACACCACCCACAGCTGTCACCACACCTGCCACAGTCCCCCCGGGCCTCTCAAGGTGACATCAACACATCCAGAGCTCGGCTGTGCCTCGAGCTCCTCCTCATTGAAATTTAAGACCTTATTGCCAAATAACTCCTGGTGACAGCCCCTCACCGTGGTTGGGGTTTCACCCTCCCAGCACAAGCCAGCAACGCACCCCTGCTGTCCCCACCAAGGTCCCCACCCTCCAGGAAGCAGCAGGCAAGGGTTTGGAACCGTGAGGTCACATCCCAGCGCTCCGTGCACACAAGGCATCAATAAAGCTTTCAGAGTCATGCTTCAGGCTCCGCTAACGAGGGGCCAAACGAGGTCAGCTGGGTTTGTCCCCTCCCACTTTGGCCCCCACACCACTGGGGTGCCAGAAAACCTGTCCCCAGAGGATTGACCTCCCTGTGACGGTGTCCAGTGAGGTGACACAGGCGCCTGGGCACGGCTCAGCACGTGAGCTCAAGCTCAGGCTGGTGACACGAGACATCAAACATCATGCCCAGCATGGATTCCACATCCAGGAACCTTCAGGACTAGCCCAGAATTCAGCACATGAAGGAATCAACCCCCCCTGTGCCACCAGGAGCACCAAGCACCAGCACAGAACTGCTGCCCCCAAACACCTGGGGGGAAACATCCCTGTCCCCCCAGCTCTCACAAACCACTCCCAAAGTCTGATTTTACCCCACACATTCTTGACAGCAAGATGCAAAAATGAGCCTTGGCCAGAAGGCTTGTGGCGCTCTCCAAACTCCTCCTTCGCAGTGCTCCCATTTTACCTCTCCTGCTCACATCAGCCAACTATTAGGGAATCATTTTAAAACCACTCTGCCTTCCCAGAGGGAGTCTGAGGGCTGCTGTGCCATCTTTGCCACCTTCACAGCACAAGCTCAGAACGAATTATCACTTCAGACTCCTCAAGTGTTATCGCTGCTTGAGGGTTTGAATTGAGGCTCTGCCAGAAGTTTTGGAGCCGAGTGTGTTCTGCTCCCAACACACCAGAAAAGGCTCCAGCCAAAGTGAGGCGATCACCGTGGTGGATGTAAAGGTGGCAAAGGCCAGGCCGGGGCGGCTGCTGTGCTGTGTGGGCACAGAGGTGAGCCTGAACTCCACCAGGTTATCATGGAATCCTGGAATGCTCTGGATCGGAAGAGACCTTAGAGCACATCCGGTGCCACCCCTGCCATGGCAGGGACACCTCCCACCATCCCAGGCTGCTCCAAGCCCCGTCCAGCCTGGCCTTGGGCACTGCCAGGGATCCAGGGGCAGCCCCAGCTGCTCTGGGTGACCTGGGCCTAACCCAGGCCAGCCCGGCTTTCCCCCCGAGCGGGCCCTTTCTGCTGCAGCTACGGCAGCTCCCGGGACAGGCAGGGCCGGCCCTGACCCCGCTGGCTCTGCAATTCCTGGCGTCTCTCCACCGGCACCAGGCGCTCGCAGCTCCTCCCGCCCCGCTCTGCTCCTGCAAATCCCCTCGCCATGCACGAAGCCGCTTTAATCCCCACCCCAAGCCCCGCTCAGCGCCCGCCGGGCC